AGACATCTGAAATGACTAGGAGCCCCAACTAGAAGCTGTTTTAAGAGGTCACAAGCCAAATGGTTGGGAGCCACACATTTTACCAATGTGTTGTATCCTATCTTTTCATATATTATGTCAAATTGAAATCTGTGAAGTAGCTAGAAACTATATCGGTCAAAAACATTTTAAGTCAACACTTTGTTTCACCCCCCTCCAGGTAAACACTAGCTCTGTCAGCACTGTTGCCTGTGTTTGCACTGTTCATCTTGTTAGCAGCATTAGCTGCGAGCCGCTGGCTCAGCCGATACCATGTTGAGTGCCGTTGGGAGTCAAAATATATGCTCTAAATTCTGTACACAGAATCAAGGTAAATTTGTCCATAATGGGAGAAAAGTCTTGCTTTTTGTCAGAAACACATCAATCATCGACAATAGGGTTCAACTTTGAAGAATAATTGTTTGCAGAAACATAAGCAGGCAGTTAAAGAAGATTAGGGTTTCAAGCTATAATTAAAAGCCATTTGAATGAGTGATTCACAAGAGTGTAGAACGCGTGGAGGAGAAATCAGTCACAGCTGTGAAACAATCTCAGAATCAAGGATCAGACGGAAGCTCGGTTATGGTTGACTATGGGACATAAATAAGGGAGGTATTCAGAGGTATTTTTAATGCATCTGAGAACCAAAGGGATTTTTTTGAAACATACTTTCATTGTTCAAATAATTGAGAAACTATGACCCTCCCTGGCCATGACCTTCTGCATGACTCGATGGGGGAAAATCCTGTTTGTACCTTGTACATATTCCTTGGAAAGTAATTTACTGCAGAGCAAAGAGAGAGTCACACACGTACAGTACACACAAATAATGGATCCGCTCAGTGGTTGAGTTTGATTAATGGGCTGATGTACTGCATCTTGCTCACCATACCCAGGAATTTGCTCGGTTGCTACACAACAACATGCAGACAGGCAGAGAGCTTCGTGTGCCTTTTTCATCTGGTATAAAAAAGGTCCTATGTTTCGTGCGTCAACGGTTACATTTTTGGGGGAATTCGGCACTTGAACACCTGAACAACAATGTAATCAAAACAGATGGCACATTCACCGTTAGTCATTCTGCCTTTATGTCATCTTTCATAAGGTGTGGCTTGTGTCCTGCTTCCACTCTCTTCTCTCTACATGTACGCCTTCAAAATAAAAACTTTAAGGCAAAAGCTTATGTTCCCTTAAGTTGCATAATGGTGCATCCGTTGTCTGTCACAGCCAATTCAATCCAGCAGACAGTAAGTAAGACACCTCTGACATCTTTAGTTAAAGGATGACGCCAATCCAGCTTTATTTTACACAATTAAATGGTTCTTCTCTGTGCTGGGAATGCACACTATTACAATAAAACTAGAGATGCACCGATACAGATACAGATGTCGGATATCGGTCTCATACTGACTCAAATAGCTGGATCGGTTATTGGTGACAATAAGCCAATATGTTATCGGATACCATTATTTTGATGAATAACAAGTCAGTACATTTATATCAATGTATGTATTTGTTACATTTTGTTTTATAACGTTTGGAAAGCAATATTTAAGTCAAGCCTGATTTGCCTTAGATATAAAAGAATGACCCCAGTCACTTCACAGCTCATTAATTACACACTGCTATCGGATCAGTACTCGGTATTGGGCGATACTTAAAGCCCAGGTATCACTATATAGATGAAAAAGTCGGATCAGTGCATCCGGATCTGTTTCTGTTCTCCGTTCTGTGTGAAAGTAGGCTATTCATGACAAAAACAACAGTTCGAAAACATGTATTGACAAGCGAAATATTTGCACAAAGAAAACGTCCCCGATGCGTAAAGGTCCTGAAGGAGGCAGATATTTCCATCAGCAGTTGGTGGAGACTGAAACAGAGCTAAAAAGGTAATTAATCAAATTGACAAAAACACAATTTCAAAATGAATTCTTATGTAGCTAAGTGACTGCCAGGTGTGTATATAGGCAACCGTTTGCCAACACGTTTGCCATAACAACTTTATAGAATGGTAATATATCAATGTTGAGCTGCCCCCAAGTGACTGAGAATAAAGCACTTAATGCGTTTAAAATGTGCCATAATAAACAAGCTGGAAAGAAATCTACAGCTGTCTAAAGTAAGTAAGGGAGTCAACTCGAAGTCAAGCCTGAATTATTTTTGTTTAATCTAGAAAATGATCCATATAAATATATAGATGTATGGATTCAGGTGATGTTGCCTCGATTTCTTCCGACTGTGTTTTCCTGTTCATGGTTATCCCCTAAAGCCTTTTCCAAGAATGACGTGGGCAGAATTGATGGTTGTAGTAAGACTTAACACACCGGTGACAGGCTTGTCGGCCACAGACGTAATCAAATAAAGATTCCAGTTGTTCTGAAATCCCCGGTTTTAGCCTCCGGGGCTTCGAGGTGGGCCCCGGAAATCCGAGGAATGAGAGGCCGTCCATGTGCTGTCAACGCTGCGGACACAGTATAATCCTGCACCAGTGGGAGAATACTGATGAGAAGTGCTCAGAGGGAGAGGAGTGTGTGTGTGTGTGTGTGTGTGTGTGTTGAAAGCATTGACAAGCACTGAGCCTTGACCCTGATGGACCCACGGTCCTATAATATATTTATGGGAGGTGTCACACAATATAGCTGGGCGATATCTAAAATGCAAGCTCTGGCAATAACGTAGAGCTTTCAATGACGACACAGTGCACACGTCAGAGGTTTCAACAAGCTGATACACATCTCAGCCGTCTGCTACCAACACAAACATAGGAGTGGTCTGGGGTTGAGTTTCACTCTGATGTTGGTTTTAAATACGAGGTTTACATCATCACCAGGGCATGTTCGGTATTGTGCCTCTCTATGCTATCAGTCCATGTTAATCATGGCTTTGGAATCACATCACCTCTACTAGGAGTTTCCATCACAGTTCAACAAGTAACACAATGGCTTGTGTAAAGGGCAGTAAAAGGTGAACACCACCCTTATTCACTGATGACTATCTTCATCAGCCTTTTTTTTTATCAACTGTTTTTTTTTTGATGACAATATTCTGCAGGCATTTACTTGCTGATTTATCTTTTTTAATAAGAGACAATTAAATAAGTGTAATATTACTGATTATTTGACTGTTGCTTTTGGATGATTATGTTTCAGTAACATTCTATGAGGGCAGATATCAACATTGTGAGACATGTAGTAGACTGCTGCCATCTAGTGGCAATAACTTTACATTACAGCTTCTCGAAAGCTCTTAAAATACCTTTGAAAACATTGCACTATAATAACGTTTCTTTTAAGCGGAAGTGCAGCTGATTTCAATGATCAGAACCATACTGAGATGTTAGATGATATACAAACTGCCAGATGCTACTTCAAAATAAATACAAGCATATGTGTTGCAAGTTTGATGTCTGATTGTTCACTTTGGGTGACACCAAATGTCTGACATGTTATAAAAGGCGTTGTGTCATAACCACAGCTTTTTGGCTGCAGCTGCTTGCCCCAGCACCTATTATAAGGCGTGCAGTAAAATCTTCACGAGGGCACCCCATCTCGTTTCTGTACAGGTTTATTATTTAATTGTATGTATGTAACCAGCTGTATTGGTTAAAACAGAAAGATGAAGTGTATTCTTAATGTGCTACGTCAAGCTATACGGTAGCAAAAAGCTTTTATTCAGAAATCAAATGAGGATCGATGTGTCAGTGTCTCAATATTAGCAAGCAAAGCTACTATTGTGCCAATTAACCACATTGTAACAGAACAATTATTATTAGATCTGATTCTATTCCAATTTGATTCTAAAAAGTCAAAGAAAAAAACTAAGGAGCCACCACCAGGTGTCATGCTCATGCTGGCCAGAAGACTAACTGACTAATTTGCACATGTAGAGAATGTTTTAATGCACAAAACCATTTTGTGATAGATTTAAACAAATGTTTTTGTTTTATACATCAAATTATGTACAGTACAACTGACCCATAGGTCGTGGAATGCACCATGAAAGCACTGATGTTGCAGTGACTCTGATCTGATCATATGACCAGACAAATACAAGGGAGTTCAAAAAGGATCAACCAGCTCCACCGTCCTCGACACAGTTTGAATCTGCATAAAGTGCTTTCGTTGTTGTGTCAACATCCCCTTAAAGTTCCTGTGTGCTGTCAAACAAGGTAAAGATATATTACCCAATGTGAGACAACAAAGTGGTAATTACTATATGTAGTTTTGTGATAGTCTACTCTATCTAAACTGTAGGTCAACAATAATGGTAGGAGATAAAGAAGCCATTTTCCTCAGAGCCAAATAAACATGACACACTGACCAAACATGAAAAAGAGAACTTTGTTTTACTGTGTCATACAGTAAATGTAAAAATACATCATACAGACCCAAAATACCTTCAACAATATAATACCATGTAATACATGATATCAATTCCATTTTAGCATTTATACCTGTATCTTCCATCTATTGAAGATAAGCCTGTAAGCTTTTAGTGTAAACAGTTAAACAAGTCCCAACACTGTGGACCCAGCATGTTTGTCTGAACATGGTTTGTTGGCATCGCCTCACAGAGCCACCACTGTGACACGTGATTGGCTCGCCCGTGCTCGCGCTCCTCCAATCCCACAGCCGCGCTCGCTCCGCCCGGCGCCACATCACTAGCATGGCGGAACACTGAGCAGGAATTCCGGCTATGAGCCGATGACAGCGTCGCCGATGGGGCAACACCGACGATGATCACCCCTCTGGCGTTACGGATCCGTTACAGATGCGAGCAACTTGGCGACAGAGTATCCGCAGACACACACACAGCTGTTTGGGCCACCGGCTTGTGTCACACTTTACAGGCGGTGGATGAAGCCCGTGATGCTCCGAATTGGACCGGTGCCTATTTCTCCCCTTGAAGTACTCGCGGAGATCAACTAGACTATCGCTTCCTGTTGCTGAAGAGTTTTTATATTTAAAAAAAAAAAGAAGAAGATGGATTCGTTGGAGTTGCTGCCTTTGGACGAGTTGTCCCACGGACTTGCAAACTTGTCCATGTTTCCATACTTCGACATGGCGCACTACATCGTGTCAATCATGGCTCTGAGGGAGCAGCCAGGTAAGATAAGTGGCTGACGCAAAGTTCACGCGCGTGATAACATGGCACGCCATTTGCAGGTTTCATCAAGTTATTTTGCACAAGTTTAGGCAAGAGTTTGTCCTGGTGAAACTTCCACAAATATGCCTCATGATGTCCCGGTGTTTCAAGAACAACACCAGAATGCCACGCAAGCACTGGGGAAGTTAGTGGGCTGTATTTTAAAGTGAAAACATCTGAAATCAGTTTTTATTTGTGCATATAATCTCGATCTACTTCTGTTGTGTTCTTTCTTGTTATAAGGACATTCAATATACATTCATACTATTAGTCTTAGTGTTATTAGAAGCTACATTTAAAAGCTTATTTATTTGTTTATTGACTGTTGTTTCTATTATTTCGTCCACCCCACATATCACCGCCCTGGTAAGGAGTGTAGACTAAATAATAAATAATTATATAAAGTTAAACAGCCCAAACTACATATACTGCTCTAAAAGTTAAATTAACCCCTCGTATAAAAGGTCACAAAAACTAAACATTAGATAGTAAAAGAAAGATGTGCCAGATAATGGGACGCACTGCTATTCTGCCATAATGAGTTGATAAATAAATGTAACTTTAAAGCACACACTGCTGCTGAGTAACAGTTGATTGTATATCCGCTGAGCCAGTATGCTATGTGACTGAGATAAAGTGTACAGGGACAGGTGGACTTTAACTGCACAGAGAGTCGACTTTACACACACACACAACTTATAAGAACACGCACGCACTCCATTGTAGTCCCGCTGCTGTGACTCTACGGTCTATTTATGAACTTGCCTCGCAAAGCATCTGAGCTCCCGTGACCTTTTAACCCGTAGTCCCCTGCTCCCATCCATCCATCTATCTGTAGCTGAGAGACAGATGCACACAGAGGGAAAATATAGAGAAACAACATGCCAGAGGTCAGCAAACACAACACGAAAACCTCATAACGGAGAGGATAGCAAAAGAAATTCAATAAAACCCGAATAAAGAAGACATTTAACACTCAGGGAGCAAGCTGAAGTTCTTGTTTTTCCCCAAAGAATTAAAGGAATGCCGTAAACCACTCTCAACCCGCCCGTTCTTTTCTCTTTCCATGTTAACTCTTCTCCACCAGCCTGAGGATTTAAAACACGCTCGCCGGGTCTCTCTACATTTCCATGACACCATCTGTGCAGTTTACTGCGGAGTTATTTTAAACATTGCTGTGAGTGGATTGTATCGGGTGGAGGAGGACAGTCGATCAGCGGGTCCCTCTTCAAGGCCGAAAATAACCGGGGATAAGCCACTTTTGTTTCTTCTCTAGTTCTCCAGTTTCAAGAGTGAGGAGGAATGTCTGAGGAGGAATGTCTTATTTATGCGCAAGTGTGTGTATGGTGGGAGGGATGCCGTCCTGGTTGTTGATCAGGCTGCAGCAGCAACAACTGAACTGTTTCTCAGCTGCAAGACTCGTCTCCTTTTCCTTTGAGTTCGATTTGTGAAAGATCTGGACTTAAACTAATAGACACTGAATATACTAAGATACTTTTTCCTCTCAGAAAAAAGAGGAATTAAAAAAAACAACAACAACCAGTATGACATGTTGCAGCTGTGGTGTTCTTGACCTGTATTTGCCAAATTTGACTTGCAAATGTGTTTCCTTAAACGCAAACCAGCAAACAGGATCTTGATCTGGTAAGGGTGCGTTTGTAGCCCAGCAGGTCAGAGCAGTCCAAACACAGTGACATATTTCAGTGTAAAATGTAAACAAAGCATTATTTATTTTTTTGTCAGGCTCTGACACTTAGCAGTTTGTTTCACTCTGGAACTAAAAGGGATGACACAGTGACCCTGTTAACTATGTTAGCCATGTGCTGCACCCTGTGAACTGAGTGCTGCAACTGCGATAAGACCAAAAGCACTGATACTGAGCATTTATCTCATGTAGGCTGAGGCTCTCACAGGAGGAAGGGACTCGTTGGGTGCTTTTTCTCCCCCTAAACTTCCTCCTCTTGTAACTGGCAGCTAGTTTTTAAACCAGAAACGTCCATTACATCAGACACACAAAGGGGAAAAAAAACTGTCTCGTTGTGTCATCGTTGCAAAACTGAAATCACACACACGAAAATAACTGTAGAATTTGTTAACACTGACACTTCACTGTGCTTTTGATGCTGCAGTTGCATGCAGTAACCACTCGGAGCTGAAGCCATATTGCACTCGCTCACACTACTGTTCTTTCTGGTATATAGCAGAGCTTTTCAGAACTGTGAGGGGCGCCTACCCACGGGGGCGTGGGAGAGCTTAAAGGGGGGATGAAGGGACAGACGTGAGGTCAGGACACTGTGTGAACCGAAGGAGACAGGTGCATACCGGTGTTCTAAAAACAGGAAGTTGTTTACTTTAGGCCCACTCACTAACACCGTCAGTGGTTGGAGCAGCAGCAGTGTCTGTGAAACACATCGGATGAGGAATTTTAAAAGGTACTATAAAACTCTTAGTTCCTGATTTTTGCATGTAAACTTCAGACTCATAACTCAAATCTGAACACAGACTTTATAGACATATTTGTTCAGCGTGACGTACACTTCCCAAGGATATAATTATCTCAGAATAAATCAATAGTACAAACAAACACTCAGACATCTACTTATGACTCATTGAAAAAAAGCGCCCCTTATATCTCCAGAACTTGCATTAGAATCATCACGTTTTTAAGTTTTCTTCAGTATTAAAGTAATCTTGGAATAGCTGTCTGTACATTCATGGGTACACTGCAAACAGGAAATGCCAACAGCTAATTCAACATACTTTAAATTATGCTATTTGCCAAAATGTAAACAAATATACAAATGGGGAGGGAGGTGTAACCCACAGCTGACTTACTTACTCCATGGCAATATTATACTTCTTGCTTACATCACTCAAAGCCAACAGGTTATGGGAATAGTAGTTCCATAACTTAAAGCATGGTTATCCCTTATTCCATTGTTGTATTGGTACTTGTAGTATTTTAAAGTTCTATTTTAGCATCAGAACTGTTCAAAAAGATAATATTGTTCGATGTCTCATTTAAGAACTAATACTCGTCCACAACTTTGTGCACTTTTTTTTTAAAGTGGTGAATTCCACCGCTTGTCTATTATTTCCATATTCTTTGAGTGTGGGCAAAGTTTAAAAAGTGAGCTGAGCAGACAGAATCCTCTGGGAGTCTGCAGAGGAGGCAGATAGAGTTATAAATCCTCCTGGTCTACCGATCACTCTCCAGGAGTCTATAATCTGTCTGTAATCCTCAGATTACCAGTATGGTCCTGTGTGTGGCCATACAGTGACTCTGGGCAGGTGGTTCAATGTCGACTGAGCGTTACCCGTCTGGAGTTTAGTCAAACAGGGATATTCTAGTGTGCGTCGGCGGCACTAATTCTGGTAGAGTCGGACGAGTCGGTTTTAGATAATATTGAACCATCTCTGCAAAGGTCAATAGAGTTATATAAACACATCTCAATCATTGGCTGGATAATAGTAACACCAGACCTTCCTTCCATAGCGCAGACTTGCAGTAAGAACATCAGTATCCTAATACACAGCAGTTCACGAGCTATTTCAGTTGCCTAAAACTCGTGATGTTGCAGTAGTTAGCGTGTAAATGGGTTCAGGGGAGAAAAAGGAATACAGTGTTCTTTTTAAATGGTGGAAACAGAAGGAGCATTGATCAAATAAATGCCGTGCCTCTGCACTTTGAACTACGCAATAATGTTACTGTGCTTGACAGACCTCCCTCTGACTAGTTAATATTAACACAGTTACGGGGATTGGGAGACTCGTGCGTCACACAGGGAAGAGCCCAACGTGTTAAACTCCACTTCTTCTTTAAAACACTTGTATGTTAAATTTAAAATGTGTTTCTACAACAACACTGTGGAATTCACAAATTACCTTTTCCATATTATTACTGTCATCACATACTGTAAATCCCTCCACTATAATAAAGACTATATTTAATGCTTATTGTGGTAAACATGCAACAACAGTGATTGCAGGGGTGTTACCAGGCTTTTAAAAGACCCTGTAGGAATGCTAATACCTTATGTATTGGAAATATACCACGTATATGGGACTCGGGGGAGATCCACGTCACAGCCATCCTGCTGACGAGTATGCTTCTGTTCTTGTGCAGGTGTTCTTGAGGTCTCCAGAGTCAGCCCCTTAGCCTGCTGGTTCAGCTCCATGCTCTTCTGTTTTGGAGGAGCCGTGCTGTCTGCCATCATGCTGGCCGAGCCCGCGGTGGCACCTTTGTCCAACAGCACCGGTGTTCTGCTTGCGTCGATCACCTGGTAAATATACCTTGAAACAGAGTAAAGAGCAAAGAGGAGGGGGGGCAGACAGTTTGCAGGGTTAGAGAGAGGCCCTCTGCAACTTTTGTGAAGAAATGTGCAACTACTTAATTTCCTGTTAAGGGAGCATGACATGTGGAAGAGATTGAATGAAACAGAGAGGTTGTTGTCAAGTTCCCACCTCTTAATATGAAGCCTATAGTACCCTCTACTGGTGGCACATATTATTACACTCTCCTCAAAAGAAGTACACAGCACCCTCTGCTGGTGGTACTTGACAGAAACATGCAGGTGATACTGTCAACGTGTTTAATGAACATGTAGTTGACACACAGCAGGTACCTGAGGTGTGTGTGTGTGTGTGTGTCTCTACAGGTACCTAGTGTTTTACTGCCCCATGGACCTGGTGTACTGTTGCTCTGCCCTGCTGCCTCTCAGGCTGGTGCTGTCGGTGATGAAGGAAGTGACCAGGACGTGGAAGGTGCTTGGGGGGGTGACCCAGGCACACAGCAAATACAAAGACAGCCTGCTGGTTATGATTGCCATTGGGTGGGCTAAAGGTCGGTAGCTGACGGTGCATGCAGAAGGATTCTTCAATGGATTATTTATATGAACACCCATCTGTATCAAGCATATGTTTCTTTTCTTTTCTTACCCCCACTAGGTGCTGGAGGAGGTCTGATAAGTAACTTTGAGCAGCTTGTTCGAGGTGTATGGAAACCAGAGACTAATGAGCTCCTAAAGATGTCTTAGTAAGTCTTCTGCAGGACTCTTATAAGCACAAAATCGCTGATCTATCGATAAAACTACATTTTCAATGAAATCACTGAGAGTGTATTGTGTTGCATTTAGTATGAATGTTAAACTGAAAGGAATAGTTTGACATTTTGGGAAATGTGTTTATTTAAGAAATGACTACATGACATTTCTTTTCCTGACAAGAAATAGTCTGGCACACAACCCCTCATGTAAAAATACAACTTGACATTTTTACACTGCATGGATTAAACAAACAAGATACAACATGTTATTTTTTGACCTTTTAGAGTTTCTGGTAAGCAAATAATATAAGATGATTGGCTCATGGTTGTACCTTTTATATTTACCTTATTGACATGACAGTGGTATTGATATTCTCATCTACCGAACAAGCCAACTTTCTAAAACACTTAACAAATCTGGGGATATGCTACAGCTGGCGCCTATGTATGTATACAAATGGTATCAAACATGTTCTCTTTGTTACCTTCAGGCAGCATTAAAACGTGATTTGAGTTTACAGCTACATTGATGACGTGTGTCTCCAATTTAGTTAATTTGTGTATAATAGTTGAAGCACATGAGATGTGATGTCTTTCATATTATATCATAACCATTCTCTCATTGCATGTCTGTTCAGCCCCACCAAGATCACCCTGATCGGAGCGGTGCTGTTTGCTCTGCAGCAGACCCACTACCTGCCTCTCAAGACGCACCACCTGATGCTCATCTACACCGTCTTCACCGTCGTCAACAAGGTCAGTCCGTAGCTCATACCCGAAATCGTGACCGTGAGAATAAACGCCCACGGTGCTAGCGATTCAGATGCAGAACAGTAAGGCACGTTTTGGGCAATTTGCTTACCGATGACGCATACAAAAATGATTTCATACCATTCTTAGTAACTCGGGTATGTAAAATGTTTTGGTGCCGTGGATCCCTCCAAATCTGTGGCGTCCTGTCTTCTAAATGACCTTTCTCCCTCTGCTTTTTTGAAGTTTGAGCTGTGGTGACTCGCATTAGCTCGGTGTTACCCGCAGGGCTGGTGCTTTTGCATCATTTTCATCAGCTTGCATCATCCTCTCTCTTCTCTTCTCTTCTTTGGGAAACTTGTGCTCTTGACTGAGACACAGATAAATCTACCGTGTCTTCTTTCAACTCCCATTCTTTTAGCTCTCATCGTCTCTGATCTGTCGAATTAACGCAGAGGCATTTCATCAGATTTAAAGTCTTGCGTCCAAATCTTCTATTTATTAGTTTGTGATCCTGATGATGCAGATCATCCCCTAATTACTTCAGTGAAAAGTGACAAATTGCATACAGCTGACACTTCTCTGTAGGTTCATCACCACAAGCAAGTCCCTTTACATACAAGTAGTCATGTGATCCATTGTTAATTGGAATATAGTGATTCTAGCTGCTGCTATAGTTCGGAAATGATTCAATTCTAAACCTAATCAGACATTTTGTTTCTGTTTTCACACATTTATCTTTTTCTTTAGTCGAGGATGATGCTGACAGGCTCCTCCTCCTCACCATTCGCCACCATCGAGTCGGCCGTCTACAAGACCCTCTTCGCCGGCCACTCCCCTTATGATGCCCTAACCGGCGAGGTACAGAAAGCGTGCGGCAATCACGGTGCAACCAACGGGACGACCGCCATCGCCGGAACCAAAGAGATTGGTGAGAATGGAGCAGCGCGGAAAACTACCCCGGTTTCTCGTGTCAAGGGTCAGAGTGGATCGCTCAAAGCCAAAGAGAAGTCAGAGAACGCGGACACAACAAACTGCAAGAAGATAAACTAGTCAGCCTCCACCCCATAGCGCCTTTTCACCTCTAAGCAGGGTTGTGGAGTCATTTCTGATTGACATTTGTCACGTCAGTTCTCAGACTTTATGTGTTATTTTTCTTTTATCAAGACATACGTTTTTGTTCCGTCCAAATAACATTTCTCTTATTCATTACTTACAATGCAATTTAAATCCGACTGCTGAAATAGCATTTCAAAAAGAGCCGACTCCAACCAACCCTGCACCTTACTGTGGGATAATCACCCCGTCCTTAAACTACTGTGATATTTATGCTGTTGGATGTGAAAATCATATATCCTTGGGCTGATTGCACACTTGTAGTACAACGTGTAGCTTCATTTTTAATATATATATATATATATATATATATATATATATATATATATTTATAATGAGTGAAAACTGTTGATGTTATCCTTGGGTTTTGGGAACAGTGCTGTGCACCTGCTGATCTATGAATGTCTGTTTCCTGCTTCATGTAAATGCTATATTTCATACTCTGAACTGGTTAGAAACACTTTTTTTAAAGAGTTTATATTCTATAACACTCAGATATTGTATTCTATTTATACTAAATAATTGCACTCTTGAATGAACATTTTCAAAATGGAAGACAATTTTTATTGTATTCTGTTTCTTTGGTGAATCTTTGAATTGCACGTAAAAGCATGAGAATAAACGGGTTAAATGCACTACAACATGGGTTTTGTGATTTCTAGTCGCTCCGCTTTATCAGACAGATTCATGCGGTTCAGTGACCATCGACCCGACTCAATATTGCCTCACTTTAAAGCACCAAACAGATCATTAGTCACATTTTAACATGTTTAAGTCCCTGACAGAAAGCCCCTAATTAATACGGAATTAAACATCATGTAGCCATCTTAGCACATTAGTTCACAGTATAATTTGTCAAATGTTAACCGGTATCTTAATTAGCTGCTGGTGAGTTGATAAAAAGCAGCGCAGCATCCAGAAGTAACCTCATAGGCTGAAACATTGCATCAGTGTAACATCAGCACCTGATTGATACCTCAGCCTCTTTAAAAAGCTGCTGGAGAGAGAGCCCACAAATCCCCCCCAATTCTCATCTATGTAACCTCAGACAGCAGAAAACCCCCCTGTGAATACAAATTAAGAACAGATGAGGGAGGGGGGGGGGGGTGTTGAAGAGATAAGAGAAGACGATCAAAAGCGATTCCGGCTGAGATGATGTACCTGCCTTTCAAAGGTCTCAAGTCCACAGATGTCAGACGTGTGCATGTCAGTAACAGGCTTGCATCTGAAAGTGTTTGCTGCAAAACTGCTCAGTATTAGCGTGTGTGTGTGTGTGTGTGTGTGCGTGTGTGCGTTGATCTTCCTGACTCTAATGGCAAACTATGTGACCTGGAAAACTGAAAGACACGTTAATAAGCCATTGTTTTCCCTCACGCTGCCTCCCATGATAAGAAGACAGGGGACATGACGATGGCTCAGAGCCTGAAAGTTCCCAGACATTACTCTTAATGAGGTCCAGACCTGTGTGACCCCCACCACAATTACTCATTGACCCGAGCAACCCCCCCCACTGTCGGGGCCCCTGCCTGTTTCGCCTGCGCTTCACCTGCTCTATGGCACATCTCTTCAGCCTCTTTTATATGCCCAGAGATATTCCTGTTTCCCAGTTGTCCGGTGCAGAAAATTAATCTTTAAAAAAAAGTGGCTTACATGCACACATAATACATTATACACGCAATGCATGCATACATTCCCATACACTTGAATCCACGGATTGACGGATAAAGCAAGGATGCGGAATAACATGGCTCAGAAATATCAGTTTTTCCGCTTTCCATCCCACAACACACACGACTTGTGCACATAGACACAAAGCAAGGATACTGTATGCACACACATTCCGATACACATGACTTTGAACCCACAGTCTAAGTAGAGGTTAAGGACATACTTAGACCATGGCATACTATCCACAAACAAACCCACAACAGAGACACACACACACACACACACAGTAGACTGGGAGGCCATCAGGGTACGTCCGACACCGACATCTTGATTCTGTGACCTGTTTTGTTGTAGCTTTTTATCTCGTTTCTCATCATTTGACTTAAAGGATGAATGAAGAGATATGCTTTAGTTTTGTGTCAACAAAGGAGCAAAACAAACGATGGATTGATCCCCCTTACAAGATCTGTCATAACCATGAACACATGGACGGGTGCTGTAGTTCACTTTGAAGCAATCCTAAATTGTAAGTGGCAAATCAGCATAAACAAATAGTCCCCCCCTATAAAAACATTTTACTTGTGTTCGAGTAACATTTGCAAATAAACTGCAGCGCCCAGTCATTTCACTCAAATCACTACTTACAAATAAATAAAATGTAACTATTTATATGACCTGTTTTTAAATTTTTAATTTACATTTTCAGAATGAGCCTGGAGAAGTCAGAAAGTATTGCGAAACAGACCACCACATAGTTGGTGTGTCTTTTCAAGGAATGCCAGCCTCATCCTTTAAGTTGCTCACTCATTGACTCATTTGTTTCCAATTTATTCAAAATGCTGCAGCTAGAATAGTGACACACACCAAGAAAAGAGAAGATATTTCTCCAATTCTTAGATCCCTGCACTGGCTTCCAGTTAAATGTAGAATTGATTAAAGGCCCGACTTATTGTCTTTAAGTCACTCAATGGTCTGGGCTCAATATATATGGCAGATATGTTTGCCGAGTACAAGCTGGGTCTCAGATCTGCAGGGACTGGTCAGTTAGTGGTGTGCTAAGAGTTCAAATGTGGTGAAACAGCGTTCAGACATTACGCTGCTCACTGCTGGAATCAGCTCCCCTTGGAACCAAGATATTTCCCAACAGTAGCCATTTTTAAAATTAAGCTGAAGACCGTCCTCTCCACAGCTTTTAATCAGTTTAATGGTATTTTTATTTATTTGGTTTTAAACTTGTCTGTCATTTTATATTTATATCTTTCTTATCATTTGCCTGTAAAGCACTTTGCATGACCTCTGCGATAAGAAATTCATTACCCCAGAATTTTGGGGCTAAATATGAATAATTGCAGCACTTTCCTGGAGAGAAACATTCATGACTATTAAAGTGCTCTATTTCCGTAATCTAGAATATAAGTGAATTTACAAAAAAACAATGTCATGCAGTGTAATAAAGGTGCTGTGATACAACCAACATGATGGCATAACAGCATACACAGCTTATATTACATGGTTTTCATTCCATAATGTGGCTTTATCATATGGTTTGAACCTTCAGTCTCAACTTAAACACACACACACTGAGTTTCAAACTCCATAAATGAAGCTATAAACATTTTTGGTAGCCTCTAAACATCCACTGCTGCCTGTTGGTGAGTGGTGCAGGACAGGTGATTACCACTTGGTGGCGTTAGGAGGCGTCATCTCTGATGGCTTGATGCCTGGGAACTGACAAGCTGGCCAGCAGCTGCAGGCAAGAAGGGATGGGGACAGGAGGGGACCCTCTTTGCAGAGCCAATGGTAGCTGCCTGCATGTGTGTTCTGGTTTAGCTGTGCTTGTGAGGATTGGCTATAGGCAAGCCACTATACTTATGAGGACATTCTAGGTTGTGAGAGCATTTTAAATAGACCAAAATCCCAGATAACGTTCAAAACATCTAAAATTACCTCCCAGAAATGAGAATTAAAAAAAAAAAAAAACAGTTTTTTGGAGACTCTGTTGTGTGAAAAACCAGCCAACTTGCATGCAGACACGTGTGTGTGCTTCAGTTGCTCAATGTCGGTGCATGTGCATGTGACACGTAGAGTGGCAACAAAGGCTGAGTCCATCAAAAAGGCACAAAGACGCTTGGGGCTCACACACCTACAAACACTAGTGCGCCCACACACGCTCTTTCACCAAATCCCTCCAACCACCAGTGAGACCAGGGCCCTTTGTTTTCCTCTATTTCTCAAAAGAATCAAACATGACCTTTCATGTTCATCGTCAGCCAATGTTTGTCCAGATTTATGCAGTTGTTGTTAAACCATTTTTTATTATGATGATGACCCGAAAATGCATTTACAATGAGCCTTTTTGCTTAATTCCAGCCAGTATGAGTCATCTCATTAACATTTATCCCCACCAGACCTCCTATCAATCCATGAAAGTAACTGTGAAAGTGTTAAACTGGCTACAATCTTCTGGCTTGTGGCTGTGCACCTGCTCCCAACTCGGTGATGTCAAAACGTGACGTCTCAGACTGGACGTTGTTTGGCCTCTCACCCCACACTGACATGATCTCTATTGGGACCATGTGCTCCCTCTGAGCTAATCTCTGCCATGGATGATTTATCACTTAAAAAGATACAAAACTGATGGAATAAAAAGTTTCATACAGTAACAGCAAAATGCGTGGCAACAACTATTTTTCACTGACAACTTCTTCCTATTTTTTTTTAAATGATCAAAGTGTTATTTAATCTAAAGTTTTTTGTCAAATGACTCTGCTGGTGATGCAATCAAACTCATTATCTCTTCAAAGTGAGATGAAAGTAAGGAGAGAACTGCTGGAGACCACACAGGAAAAGACTCAGTTAGGGAAGTTAGGCAGAAGGAAGGAGAAAGGCAGATAGGGGACAAGAAAGAAAGAAAGAAAGAAAGAAAGAAAGAAAGAAAGAAAGAAATGGGGAAATACAAACCAGAGGAGAGTAAGAAAAATGTGTGGGGACCACATAATGTAGGAATAAGGACTCACATCAGCGCATCAAGACAAGGTTGTGGTGTTGTATATATGACATCTCTTTTTCTATCTCTCTCTCTCTCTCTCTCTCTCTCGCCCTCTCTCACACACACATACAAACACAGAAGTCTCTTCAGAGAGCTCTAACTGAATGGCAAACCAAACAGCCAATGTCTACCACTATTCAAGATCTGACTTGTAAAGAACAGCTGCGAGGAGAATGCCAAAAACAAAAATGGAGCTACTATAACGTGACTAGAAAGCTGGCTGTGTGTGTGTGAGAGAGAGTGAGAAACAGAAACACTGGAGAATGAAAGGGATAGCTTATGTTAATATTTCACTTTCTTTGTACTTAAATTAGCAAACTTTTGCACATTACTTTATACTGTATATTGACATGTTAAATAATCATAAAAACACCAATAATAATGTGGTTTTGTTCAATATATACAGTATTTACATTTATGGAGCAGCACAAATAAAAAGGTACAGCCTCGAAATGCCATGAAGCTAAATAAACAGTGTAAAAAAACAAACTAATGAGCTTCACAAAGATATGATTTATTGCAGTGCCATTGCATTGGATTGCATTAGATTGAACAGGTGTAGCTGAA